ATGATAAAGTAGGTGGTATAAAGTTTCCGGTTCTGCCTTGCAAAATGAACATAGATCGTCTGTTTTAAAGCCTATTTTGTGTAATTTTGAATTAGTGTACACTTGATAACTAATGTAAAATTATAAAGCCTTAAGCTCATAGCTTAAACAGAGCAGGAGGGCGACACGCGCGAGAATTAATTCACAATCAGCCATAATTTTCAGTGAAGAAAAACTCGTATCTTCTTTCTTGGAGAATTTAACTAATCAGCTTTCTCTAGCTACCCGTTCCTTCAACTAAAGGTCTTGGTCACCTGAAGCTGAAAACTGACCCGTAGCCGGAAGTAGTAAAATCTTATTGTTGCGCTGCTGGATTTATATCCAGGACGAAATGCATACCTCCGCAGTGACAAACGTAAACTCCGATCCCTTACCTGGAAGTTGCCTTTGCTGTAGAAGCGAAATAAACCTTTTCTAAGGAGGAAAACAATGGCGGGCTACAAACGCCGCTCCCATTATCCGCCATTTTGATTACTTGGCCCAATCGAAAAAGACTGGAACTTGAACCTTTGGCAGCGACCGCTGTTCCGGTTCACAGCTGAGGTCACGAAGCAGTTTCGTCGCGTTCCGTCACGATGGGTCACGACAAAAACATACCCTTGTGTTTTGGCTGATTTTGGCTGGTTTTGGCTCAATTTCAAGGACAATGATCCGAACTAGGAGGGGAACCTTGTGTATTTTGGAAACCTCTGTTACGTTCGTCGTTGTGTGAAGCAATAGCTATGTTTTATGTCCCAAGTGGTACCCCAAGCACGGGTAGCAGTGACAGTGGAGATGGCGCCCCCCTCGCGAGCGCTTCCAGAAACCTTGCTAGCCTGTTGGACGAGCAGCGCAAGAGAGGGATCGGTGCTGCTTTACTTACAATCACAGGTGCGAGTTCTATATGAATACTCTTAAAGACTTGCTAAGGTTCTGGGGACCTAACATTCCTCTTCTCAAACTACGAGAACTGAAGCTTTTAGCTTCTGGTTGAAGCGTTTCTTCAGCACAGTGTTTATGGCGATGGGCGTTAAATAGTCATGGTTATCTTTATGGTGATGGTTAGAATTATCAAGTTGCGTCACCTAAATGACGTTCTGTTTTCTTTCAAAAGAAGACACTTTTTCACCCACTGTTTGGAAAATAATGACGTTTTGTTTCCACAATGACACTTTAGAGTCAGAATTCTATTGAATGTTTAGCCATCTGACAACAATACGCTTTTAATTTATGTTTTTATACTTGCATAATAGAACATACTTCTCGAAGGACATATACGGTGCTGTGTTGACACATCCGCATTTTTGTGTGTTGTTGTAACCATTTTTAGCCCTATATTCAAACTTACATGGCACATCCATCATGTGTGTAATTGTTACTTACAATTATTAAGCTTATTTTGAAATAAGTGGCCATTGGTATGAGGAATTTTTTTTTAACTTGATGGGTTATTATTTAAATTCTTGGTTGAATTTTACAACACCTGGCAACTCTGAAAACATAACTTCAATTTGTGACACCATTAATATTGTCTACAGTCCAACAGTCAATGTCAATAAAAAACACAAGTGTATCATGGCATTTTCAAATTATCCATCCCAGGGAAGGTTTGCACCCCATTTTCTCATGGTTAGCTCTTAAGAATGATAATGGTAATGAGAATGAAATTGAAAGTTGGTAACTCAATAATCCCACAATTACAGAGAATGAAACCACATAGCTATTTAAAAGAAAAAAAAAAACAGCACAAATTCCTCTCCACTGGACTGAGGAATGCAGTGGCAGGCAGTCTCAAACTTGTCCTTATTTATCCAATTGGGGACCATGGGCCATGGTAGCAGAAAACTCATTCTTATTCATGCACTACAAGACTGTGGACCATTTTGTAGACTCAGAGTTACCAGTATTGGATCAATTTTGTTCCCAATTCTTCCTTTAATAATTTTGGCCATTCAGGACCTATTTTCTGAACAAATTGATTTTTTCCTGTATTTTTATTTTGTTCCTTGCATTAATGAATGCTAACAGTTGTTTTATTTTAAGATACATGTAACTCTGGATATAAAAATAGGCCACGTTTGATACATCAATATTCTAAGATGGCTCTGAGGCTTTCAGGACAAACCTCTATATTTGGTGTTGTTTTCTTTGTATCCAAGTTTCTTTTGGGAATTGAGAGACAAAAGAAACTTTAAAAAATTACAATTTTGACCCCAATGCCTCTGCGCCATGTATGAATATTGATATATCAAATGTGGCCTATTGATACTGTAGAGGTTGCCAAATTACAGAATGGTAAAAGTGTTTCATGTGATATACATGTATGATTTAGCCTTTGAAGCACAAAGTGAAGTCTATTACAAGCAGGATTTATGAAAGTAGGATAACATCACCTGTGATGAGGCCCTGTTAGGGGGGTACCCATGTCCCCTGTCTGAAATTCGCCGTCAGCCATGTTGGCATTTTGCAAGATTCTTATGTCGCCTGTCGGAATTTCATCTCTGAGGAGTTGTGTCGGGAAATTTGACCTTGTTCAATTAAAACGAAGCTACACCTATAACACATTGTAATACCTTTGTTTATTAAAAAAAAAAAACCCGACACAGTGCTCTCAAGTCTCACACACTGAGCACGAGGCTCACGCAAAGGAATTCAATCTTGCGCTCTCACGCTGAAACTATTTCTCATGCATTGAAGGTTCCTTGCTGTTTTAGTCAAGTACATATATAACTAAGTATCTCTTTGGATATAATTTATTCCTTGTATGTTTTGCACTTGCTTTGAACACTTTTCAGCAGTAGAATTCTTATGCAGAGCGAGGATTTCTCTGGTCAGTGGGTTTAATGATTACTTGATGGTTACTTTTAAAGCATTACATTTCGACTCAGAATGAAGGAAAAGACTTCTTAGCTACTTCAATTTTTCAAAATTTTGTAAGGGGCTGGGGGCATGCTGGGGGGCATATTGGGGGCATGCTTTCTAAGGGCTTGGGCATACTTTTGAGGGCTGAAGTTGCTAACCTCCTAGGGGATGTGGGGGTATGGTCCCCCGGGAAATTTTGAAATTTAGACGCTTGGAATTACTATTTTCAGCCATTTTCCAGTCAGTATTTGGACTTAAAGTACAATCGAACCTATGACTATTTTTACCATGTTTATGTTTAACAACCGTTCTTTAACTCAAAATCTCAACGGCCTCAATCAGATAATCTCTCCTATCTATAATCTTCCTTTGAATTTGGTATAACCCTTATCTGCTGCTGAAGACGAGAAGACCTTGGCAGCTTTCCCCTGTCTCTCTTTTCCTTCCGTAATGCCATTTGTTGATATTACAGCTTCATATTCTTTTACTGGTTACCCACTAATAAAAGTATGAAGCAGACGGTTGAATATCTCTTTCCTTTTTCCCTAAGTGTGTTTTTAGTCATTTCAGGGCACTGCTCACTCAGCTGAGAGTGAGAAAAAATACTTGGCAATGATGGACTCGATTTATTTGATGTGGACGTTTCAGCATATATAAGAAAGCCTGGGTTTCACGACCCGTCGACATTGCTTGTGAGAGAGGAAAACACATTTAAAACTCTGGAAATACATCATCACTTCGACTCAGATGTTTAAAGCAATCACTGCATTCTCAGTTCTGAAATTCGTTGTCGTTCTTTCTTGCCATTGGTGTCGCTTTCTCAATTTTGCTGGAGTAGTCTGCCGTTTGTCGCCAATTCATAGCTCTCATGTCGCCATTTCAAGGCCATGTCGCATGTCAGAATTTACCCCTAACAGGGTCTCTGTGATGGACAAGTGTCCCATCCAGAGAAGGTACTATTAGCTGCAATTTTCCAAGCCATATCCTGACACTGCAGAATTTAACTGTTACCAGCACCAATCAATGATCAGATTCCTCGTAACCCTAAGCCTGCAAATACAGCCATGTAACACTCATTGCTCTTGGATAGTTAACACATATTCTGAGGTTACTGATAAGACTTTGTTTTTTGGAAAGAGAGAAGAAAAGGGAGAAGCGTCTCAAAATAGGGAGGTGTGGGGGGGGGAGAGGGGGGTATTATTTCAGGTTATAATTCACCTTACCTATAGAAAAGCAACTTTGTTAGAGAGTACTGGTACTTGCTAACAAGTATGGCTTGTGCTGCAGTTGTTGAAGGGCGAAACCTCCCTGTCATGGATCCAACAGGCAAGTCTGATCCATACTGTGTAGTGATTGTCGGAAATCAAGAACAGCGCACTGTTGTACAGTATAGCACTGTCTGCCCAACTTGGCATGAGACACTGCAGTTTGAAGTCAGTGGTGTGCCCCAACTGATGCAGAATGAACCTGGTAAATTATGACAATCTTTCTTTATAGCTGTGCTTATTATTTGGTTACAATGTCGGTGAATGCACACTGTGGTAGTTAGTCCTCTAGCTTAAAAGCACAATGCTTGGAACCCAGCCAGTCTTGCTCCTGGTCTTCCCAGGGGATCCGTAATCCAACATACAGTATCAGCCAAGAGTGAGTTGGTAGTCATTGAAAATGACTGGACCTGCTAGGCAGTCCCCAAGCATCTTGAAACTGCTACTTGGAAACTGGAAACTCAAACCTTGAAACTCATTACAATTCTCAATTCTTGATAACATGCAGTATCAAAGAATAATAAATTTATTTTCAAGTTAAGGCTGTCAACTTACATTTGACTGGTACTGTATCAACTAATGGTCACCACCAGGCCTGTAATCCTTACTTGATTGTACCCAGTGTATTTACTATGTGTTCTAGACATGTTGTTTAAAATTAATATATGATTTATGTTATTTGCCAGCCAGGAGGTCTGTATTGGGAAAAACTATAACCGAGGTCTCGAGTACAGCTCTAGGCCACAGGCCAAGGGCTGTACTCAAGACTGAGCTACACAGTTTCTCCCAATACAGACTGACCAAGGCCAGCAAATAACATGTTTGATTTTGAATTTAATTAAAGCTGTTCAGTTCGAATCTGGTGTACGAGTGTGTTTGACAAAAAGTGATTATTGCACTGTTTCCCTCACTCTGTCTTGAATGTTTACTTTTTATGTTGTTTACGGTGTGACAAAAGGCTTGTCTTGAAACTTAGATGCCAAAGTTGGAAATTTCAGAGCGGTGTATACTTGGGGTCTGGATGCGAATATCCAGACCGCTGGAGTGCACGATTAGCCAATCAGATTCAATTATTTAGGATTCCAGACTGCTAAGAAGCTGAAGAAAAAATAAATGTAGATATTATTTGTGTTATTTTTTTAGTTGAGAATGCAATCAGCTGCTGCCTTCAGCACTATATACAGATTGATGTGTGGGATTATGACACACTGAATCGTGACGACTTCATGGGACGAGTTCAAATCCCACTCTCTCTCCTGTCAGAAGAAACCACTGCTCGTTGGTATCCCCTGGGAAGAGGATCAGCTAAAGACAATGTACATGGTGAAATATTTTTGGAATTAACCCTAACGGCCTCACAGGTACAAATTAAAGTTAGTGTCTGTAGTACTAGTGGACAGCTGTTCCATCCTACCTGTAACTCATCTGTATTGCACAAGCCAGTCTCAAGTATAGTGTAGAATGGAACAGCTGCCTACAGCTAGACTTGTGGGCACATGACTGTATTTTCTTGTCTGAAGTAAATACCTTTAGCTAAGTACATGTATGGAGCTTTTCCACTCATGTGGCAAGCAGCCATGCATATTTATTGCTCAGAACAAAAGATAGTGTTTACAGAAGAAAATAATTCAACTCCCAAAGTATTGGTTTGGGACACCAACATGGCCACCTTTTTATTGTTTGGAGACACCAATATGGCTATGGTTATGTCATGTGAAAACACTCTATAGTAGTCTGGCGTCACCATGCATTTTAGATCAAATTTGTTCCTTGCTTTTGTAAGTCCTTTCTTTAAATATTGTTTCTCTACACCAGTGTCTGTTAGTCAAAGATAGACAATGCTTGGTTAAGAAGCAGGAATAGGATGTTTTCTTATATGTTTGTTGCAATCATTGTTTCCTTTTTAGCCTGTACCAAAATGGTGTGTAGACTATGAGCTGTATTCTCTTTGCAAGAAGAAACCTGGATTTGAGATCCCAGTTGCATTTGGAGATTCTGTGGTTGATTTGCCAGGTAGGGCAGCTTACCATCAATAATACATGTACAGTGTACCTGTTCTAGAAGTAGCATTAGGGTCCACAAATTTTAAGACAGTCACTATAATCTGTATTATTGTCTTTTGGTGACATTTTCCAAAATAACAGTACTTAAGTTCAAATGAGGCTTGAAACTACTGTAAAATTTAGAGTCAAAATCCAAGCTTTTGCCAATCGATGGCATCATCAGGGTGTATTGTTACTGTATGACAGTCACTACATGTTTGCATTTCTTTTAGGCGAGGCCGAAAGAGTAGAGATGGTGATTGATGATGTGGTAGTTGAAGTCAGTAAACACAGAGGTATTGGGAGAATGTACCTCACAAATTTTAGGTAAACAGCAACTTGAACTTTCTGTTATTTTCAGTAAAAAACTTAGATAAAGTTTAAAACATGTGTAATAATACAATGGGGAGCTTGAGAAACCATGACAGCGACGCCAAGGACAACGTCAATTAAAAAATAAGTTAATATTTTACCTACAAATCTCGCGGTACCCTAAAGTAATTTACTTTGTTTGTCACTGTCAAAGTTATCTTGCAACTGAATCTAGGACATGGCGATGAATTTGATATTAAAGATTAAAAAATTAGCAGTCGTCATTCACGTTCTCCAGACAGTGCAGAACTTGGTCATTTAATGTTGTTGTTTTGCAGAGGACGGCAAAGAAATGTACCAAGAACTATAACGCACATGCACGGCCATTGTTATCCTCATTAAACCTTTTGTTTAGTGACGTTGCTGTTGGTTCTTAAGCTCCCCAATAAGACGCTCTCATGCTAGATAATTTTGCTATCTTCTCTATTACCTTGTGATAACAAAAAAGTATTCTTGGTTTTCATGTGACGTAGTCATATTCCAAAATTAGAAATTATCCTTCCTTCTGAGGTTTTAGTTTCATCAGATAAAAGGCCCTGTAGGAACGTGACGTTTGGCAATGTTTTAGCTCGACAGAGTTCTTCTTTTTGTAACAGAGCACTCCAAGCTGTTGCGTTGCGTGACATGAAAATGGCGGCCAGAAAAGACTGTCGCGTAGGTCAAAAGACGAGTTATC